TTATCAAATTCAACTGACTTGATACATGTAAATAGACATGTATTTATCCCATGCCATCCATTCATTTGCAGTCTTACATTTATCAAATCACTACATGTAAGTTGTGTATACCAGTACATGTATATGTACATGTCCACCGATACAAAGCACTTACCCAATACTGGTTTGTTTCAACCCATCAGACTAGATTTGGAGACTTCTAATCCAAATTTGTGACTTCTTTGATGTACAGCACATTAAGTTTTTTTATTGTAAGTATACCGTTGTTGGATTGTGGATAGTTGGATTCTTGTGGATGGTGGATGATATACATGTATGCACCGTAGATCCATTCTTAGTTTCCCTGTATAGTATTTTTTATGGAATATTAGAAGGACATGTACATGTATGGTAAAAAGCTTGATGCAGGTTAATGGACGGCACATGTTCCTTGTCAAATGCGCTTAGGGTTCAGTTTGATCACTCAGTACTCATATGTCGCACGCACATGTGTGCACATGGACAATAACCATACCACACATTGGGGACTGGGTTCATTTATACAGATTTCCTTGCACAGAGATGATGCATGCTGTCTAGATTTGGTTTATTGCTCATTCTACATTTAGTGCGTGTCTTGAGGAAATAAAGTTTGTGACCCTGTTTCTGCCTTCATGATTTTTGGGTGGGGAAGGACAAGGAATGAATGGTCTGTCTTGTCCCTTGACAAAAACGAAAAGTTGCCGTTTGGAGTGTTCATGCTCCCCATGATAAAACATTGTAAATGTATCTACATGGACTTGATTGATTTCAGTTTCTAAAAGAGGAGTGTACAGACTCGCGGGAACTTACATGTTTTACATGTACATGTAACATGTATGATGTATACATGTACACAATACATACATGTACATTGTACATGTATCTGTGAACCAATTGTACATGTACATGTATGTGGGTTTGATGTGACAGTTGTGTCAAAGGGCAAAGTTGCTTTGTAATAATACCTGTACGTTGTACATGTACTGCATGGAATACCAAACTTAGCACTGTAGATGTGAAAATGCTGTTTGTAATTTGTTTGTGCCAGTAGTGCATTTAATCATTGATCAAGTGATTGCCATTGTCATGGACTATGCACACAGTGGATGGTCTGCTAGTGCTATAAAAACTCAAATCCAGTAACCTGAAAACTATTTGGAGTTCATGGTCAGCTTGACTAAAGTTAATACAGATTGACACCCACTTGTATGTGCTTACGGGTACCTTCTGTGGAAAATTTAGACATCCTATTCAGCAGCAAATTTTTAAGGTTTTTTAAGGAGGTGGCATCTAAAAATGTACATGTTTAGTAAATTGAAGAAGAAATCAGATTAATTTGTCCAAAGTATTTGATGGTCACTTCACTCTTGATGTACAGGTTCTTACAGTTTGCAGTTTTCTCAAATTGATGAAATATGTCATTGACTTTGATTGCAACTTGCTAACATTATTACTGTTTTAACAAAAAGAACAACTAACATGTATGACAGTTTACATGTATTTCAAACAGGAGGGGTTGGAGTGAGTGATAATGTACATTTCTATCTAAAAAAGGAAGGGTTTGATTGTTTTTAACTGGAAATGGAGACTCATTTTCTGTTGCACTGTCGATTTTTTAATGTAAACACCTAAGTGATTACCTGTGCAGGTGCATACGTGTACATGATTACCTCTAAGGTACCTGTAATTTGGTTCATCATATGTGATCGACAGTCATGGGAATTAGTTGAGGTTTTAATAACCTTGATTATTCCTCTGAACATGTTTAGTTGGTTATCAGTGTCAGTGTCTGTTCACAGCAGTTTTGTGTCAGTACCGGATTCAGAAATTCACTGAATTTTGAATACGTACCTGTAATTTCTCATTTTTGAGGTTATGAAACTGGGTTTTGGGGTTTTTGAATTTTTGTTTACAGGTGACAGTTCCAGCTCACACAGGTTTCCTATGTCATAGTCATTTGTCAATGTCATCATTATGAACCACTTTAAGAAGAACAAAGGCCCTAACACAGTTGGGCAGAGACACAATGAAGAATTATGGACAAGGACAGGAACATTCGTCAATAAACCTCAGAAAGGATGGCTGCATTCAGAGGAGAAAGTCAAGCATGGAGGAGTGTGTTACGGTGTCACTGTAAGTAATGTGCCATGTTGACAAATTCTTAATGAATTTATAAAGAAGTACAACATTTGAAAATGTGCTATGTGAAAAGATTGTATTGTAGATTGGTTCATGAACATTTAGAGCCCATTTCATCCTTTTAGATTTGAAATACGTCTGGCAGTTGCAGCATACCCTGGTATATGTATCGTTACAATGTACAATGCATGTGAACAATGACCAAAGTCACCCAAATATCGAAGAAGGACAAACTTTCCTACCACCTGTGATGTGTTTTACCACAAAAGAATGCATTTGGAAATGTGAAAGCAAACTGTCTTAACAGATCTGATTATAACCTTTTACTTGTGTGAGGGAAAAGGACGGCCTGCTCCACCAATCTCAAAACAAACTATACATTTGTGTTCCTCATGCAAGAAATAGCAGTGATCCAATTTCTAAAACAGGAAAGGGCAGATTTGATGGCATACATGTACACATATATGTGTATCTCAGCATGGAATTGAAATCCACAGGATACATGTACTAGGATACAAGGATGTTCTGTACATCGCACTGCATTCTCAACACTAGAAAGAGACTGAAACTGAAGAAGTGTTTGGTTTCCATCACGTACATGGATGTGCATGTATGTACAAGTACGTGTAGCTTGAATTATTGGGACACATCTGTACATGCATGGTACTGTTTCCAAATTTGCAGTGTTATTCAATTTCAAAAGCTCACATGTATGTGTACATGTACATGTATCAACTATGAAACATTGTGAGTAGGAGATACTGTACTTGGATAGTCAGCCCATTGTACATGTGCGTACATGTACATGTGTACATTGAGAATATCTATGTACATGTACCGGTTCCTCTCTTTTGGGGAGTAACCTTTAAAAATTCAGGTGATAAATATGTGCACGTTTTGGAAACCCAATTTTTAGAAGTTACAGTTATCTTGAAAGGTGTTTTTGAAGGATGCTTGCAATATACATGTAAATTTTCTTACTCTCACTTTTTGTGCATCTTTATACTTAAGATGCTTCAATGCATGAAAAGTATTTGAAATCCTCAAGGAGAAAAGTGCACTTTTCGAACATTCACATGTACCCAGGCTTTTGTTGTTGTTTTTTGGGACAAGGGAGGTCACTGTAAATCAGGGAAGACACTAATCAGTCGGCATATTTTCATGTTTAAACTTTGAACAAGGAGAAAAGGTTGCTTTCTGGCTTATTGTTTAAACATTCATGAATTGCCAAAGAGAAGATTTGTGACCGCAAAATTTAAATACTCTGACATTTTTTTGGTGAACAAATCAATGCAGCCTTGAGGTTCCGGATAACATCACAGTTTTGCTCATCTTGTCTTAAATACACAAATTAAAATGGCTCTGATGACAGTTTGCTTTTACATCTATGTATAATAAAAATGCATTGATGCACATGGTCCTGTACGTGAAGTAATGAAAAGACTCAGATTCTTAAAATAGAAAATGTCTGGCAAATTGGGTCAACGCTTGAGCGATATGTCACGTCTTTGCTCTGAGATCGTGTCAACATCTCAGGCGTACACGTGTACATCAGTAAGATGCCATCATGTACATGTAGATTCTAAGCAAACTAAAACTAAAATACTAAAATAGAGGAGTGAACGAAGATGTGTTCTGTGTACTTTGTTTCAAATTGTCCAACTTACATGTATGTGAAACAAACTAACAACAATTTGAAGATTTGGTGTTTTATTGGTGTTCATTTGAGTTCAGTTGGCCTTGAACTTTTCCTTCTGAATCAAAGAGTTTAGATACCAGACTTTTACCCCAGGGTGCAACACAGATTGACTAGACACCAGACTACCCTTGGGGTATGTGGAGTTTTGTAAGTGTCTTGGAATGTCTGGCACTTGGCAGATGGAAATCACAGTGTGTATCTCCAGCTGTGTTCCAAGATTCCCACATTTCATCCTGAATAGACAGGATATTGAAGAGGACCATGATGTATTAAGCGCTATTTCCTTTTGATAATAGATTGATTTATCTCCTCTTTTTCAGTATGTCGGATGCATTGAAGTCAAACAATCAATGAGAACACTACCCTTTGAAATGAGGGGCCAAGTTACAAAGTAAGTGATTTGAATTTACGTAAATACTCAGTCATTAAACAGACTGTGTTTTAAACTAATTACATTTTCAAATTAGGGTCATTTTCTCGTAGGGTGACTTCTCTTACCGGGTATCAGAAGAAAGCAAAATTAACACAAGATGTTTTGAAAATGGAAAACAGAAGTTATGTCTTGAATTTTACTGTTGGAATTGGCAGAAGGTATTTCAATTACCAATTATTTGAGTTACACCCATTGTCGAGACTTGCTAAGAATTGGATCTGGAATGGATAGCAGTTACACCCTCGTGACAAACCAATTAAATTAACTGTGGAAGTTTGGAGTCAATCAGTATATCAGCAATTTGGCTTTAGGTTTCTTGCAAATATGACCTTGCTTTGAGTTACCATTAATACACGTATAGCAACACCAAGACTGTGGGGTTGGACTTTCTCACAACATCCTACTCCCGTTAGGATTTACCTGTAGCTCCAACCATAGAGCTATAAAGCAGTTGTTTCAACACACAAAGAAAGCAGGGTTTAAAATGTGTGCACTTGAATCTCATTTCCAATGAACATTAGTCACTTATCTTAAGATTTTATTCCATATTGCTTGGAAAAAGCACCAATCTCCTACAATTACGTACATGTAGCAAACTGTGTAGATCTTCATGCACAAAAAATCCTCCGATTCAAAATGTGTGCTAGTGTACATGTACATGTGCATCAGCAAGAAATTGTCGCATGTTGATGAATTATATGTAACTTTACTATGTCAACCCTTATGGTAAAAAAGCAGTTAAAAATTCTTGAAACATTATTAAAAACAGTACAGAAATGTGTGCATAATTCTTGTATGAATTGTGCTGGGCTACTTCCTTGAATGTACATGTATGTTAACCTTTGTATTGTGATTTTTCTGGAGAAGTTTGCAATACATTGTCAAATACTCCATGTACGTGTACCCGTACATGTACATTTTACATCAAGTACAAGACTTCTGTTATTCCTGATTATAATATCTACCTGTATGCAGACTAACAAAGGACCCTAATATACACAAACCTGATCACCTGTCAAGCATCCTTCCTCACATGTTATGGTTAGCCAGAGGGCAAAATGTACAGTACATGTATGTGAACACACAGTGTGTGTAAACAACACGTATATACATGCATGTATTTGGCCCCTAGACACTAAATAAAAATACTGAGCCAGTAGTACAGTTGGATGTCTTCTTAAATCCTGAATTGTCCTAACATTTTGCTCTGCCATGTACATTACACATACAAACATTCATGTACATTGTACATGTAGGGTACATGTATGCACAACTCCTGGTAACTAATGACAAGGCCAATTTTTGTGGATCATCCAAAGATGGAGGAATGATCCAAAGGTGTTGCCCAGGTTACCCCAACCATCACAGAATCTTTTGTTGATACATAAATTGGTGAACTTTTTGATGAGGATTGACCACAGTTTCTTATGCAGTGTAAGAAGGGTACAGAACTGAGTGAAATGTACATGTACATGCTATGTGCCGGTAAATGCTACATGTATGTACCGGTTCATGCTGTATACCGGTTCATGCTATATACCGGTTCATGCTGTGTACCGGTTCATGCTATATACCGGTTCATGCTATATACCGGTTCATGCTGTGTACCGGTTCATGCTGTGTACCGGTTCATGCTGTGTACCGGTTCATGCTATATACCGGTTCATGCTACATGTATGTACCGGTTCATGCTATATACCGGTTCATGCTATATACCGGTTCATGCTATGTACCGGTTCATGCTATGTACCGGTTCATGCTATGTACCGGTTCATGCTATGTACCGGTTCATGCTATGTACCGGTTCATGCTATATACCGGTTCATGCTATGTAGGTGAGACTTGGTGCTTCTTCCTCTATCTCATGGTGTGCATTGCAGGGGTGAAATTTTGTGGGAGAAAACTGGAGGAAAGGGCCAATACCTGATAAAAATTTACTGGACTGGAATAGTAACTGGCATAGCCCAATGAAGTACGATAAAACTACCAGTACCCTGCAGTCTCAAAGTTATGTAATACACAGGCTTATGCAAAGTGTACAAGAACCTTTCACTCCCAAAAAATACGCTCACCTACATGTAATTTCTTTATAAATCACAAAAATTGTGGAACAATTCTGAGGTACCAGTATATTTTAGAAAAAAAGCTCCGCAGACTTTCCTCTTTTCTATAGACTTCCATTTCGATGGCTTTCATCCTGGTAACTTGATTTAATGCCCTCCTACAAAGGTCAGGGTCCAATTACTACCACTCAAAGGAAGACTTGAGGCCATTACATCCTCATCCCTTGGTGGCATTCATTCTCAGGCATGTTGGGTCACATATGCTTCTTGGAAGTCATGAAGACTTTGTTCCACCTTAAAGAACTCTTCTATAGTGTCCAGTACATGTACATGTATGCTCAGTCTGCATATTGTGATGCCTGCAGTCTCTATTGTTACATGTAAGTCATTTGTTAGATTCAGTTGACTAAAAAAGTGCATTTGACAGACTGACTCAGGTTTTTTGTACGTACCAGTACCTTTCATGATCATCATTGTAATGATCTGGTAGCAAATCCATTGATTGTGGCTGCAACTTTCATTTTTGTAGGATCACAGCAAATGGTACACTAGACAAATCAAAACAGGTGAGGTTTATGGTGTGAATTGATAATGCATGGGTTGTCCATGTTTCCATGTACATGTATGATCATGTACAAACTGTATGTCTACTTTAAATGATCAGTGGTCTCCATGAGAGTTTGTACAGGGCTGCCCTGCCAAAATTTTTATGCTGCCCTGCCAAAATTTTGCCACCCCACTGAAATTTTCACTACCTCGCTATGTTTTTTTGGGTTGGCTTTTTTCCCATTATCCTCTGTTTTTACAGTTGAAGTACGAAGAAGTTTACTGCTGTGGAATGAAACTGAAGAGTGTGTCACCGTTAATATTGACCAGTAAAACTGTAACATAAATAGATATGAATGCAAACCATGTATATGCAACATTTAATATTATACATTCACGCAATAAAACTATAGAGGTTATGCATTAATTGGTTGTATTCATGAAAGTCTTGACTGGTTCCGATCTCCCTGGTACTTGTAATAACGTTTTCACTTTGTCACATTGAGAACCAGTTTATCTTAATTACATTGTCCCCATAAAACTTTTGGGCATAAATACCTCATCCAAGAAGATTTCCCCCAAAAACTTCAACTTTTGAATACCAGACTTCCATGCTACAGCATGTTAGCACTGTGTCTGCTGTCCTGCTAAAATTCCGTGTCATGGAAAACACTGAGTGATGCAGTTATACAGGAAATTATAAAGCTTAAAATCTTTTAAAACTTAAGAACAAGACACTTATTTTCTTTGTCTTTTTTTTTTAATTTTAGAGAAGCCATCTTCAGAGTGTGTGACGCAGCAGGCTTCAGATGCAACAGAAAAAAGAAGGTAATAACTGTGGAGCTTCTTGTGAACATACATGTAACCCTCATGTCCTACTGTACTTGCTGTCATACATGTCCAATCAATCTGCCGTTTACTAGTATTACTGATTAAAGGAATGACCTGAGTTGTGAACTCATGTCTCTCTGATTAAAGGAATGACCTGAGTTGTGAACTCATGTCTCTCTGATTAAAGGAATGACCTGAGTTGTGAACTCATGTCTCTCTGATTAAAGGAATGACCTGATCTATAGTAAAGATTGCGGTAACACCATGTATTTATCTCTTCTTTGAGTAT